CTGTCATTGCTGGAGCCTTGATATGCTTCCCACCCATGCACCTTCCCTCACAACAGACTTACCAGTCAGACCCAGCTGCTCTACCGGGCTGCGCTCCTGGCCACCGCCTGCATGCTGTGCTGTGGCTGCATGCATGCACAGGACATTTATCAGGGACATTATCCACTTCATCAGCCCATAAAAGCCGATTACCGATACTGTCAATTTTCCTTATATCAGTGCCAATCCAATATGGGACCGATGTATTGGTGCACCCCTAGTTATAATGATCAAACTCTTTCTTGCAAACTGACATTTTTCTTGCTTCTTGTAATTGCATATATGGGGAAAGAATTTTGTTTAATAAAAATATAACAATACAGAAAGAAAATATTATAAAACAGTCTCAGTTTATTAGCCACTGGGATTTGGGTATGTCTGTGAGAAACTAATAGACCAGACAAAAAAAATCCTTATGTCTGAGGGTCAAATTTAGAACATATCTTAATGGACAGAGTTTCAAAAGAAGCTTAAACTTATGTATTCACATATCCTTTTATTCTCAGACCTTTACAGATGCAAGTAATCACAGGAGCAATTTTATACCTCTAGTTATTAGGAGGTGCAAGTGACATACTTAGTCATCTAATTATCTGCTTTGTGGATGCAGTTTCTAGTCAGATGTCTAAATAACATTGATTGCATTCCTAGTTATTTTCAGAAACAAACTAGACAACTACATTTCACAATCAGAGCTAAATATTATTTTTCTGCTTGTAAAGTGAATTTTCTTTTCAAATGGACTGAAGACAGGAAAAATATTATTAAGATCAGAGATAATAAAGAACAGAGAGACTATATTACCAATATGAAGGTCTTGAAGCAGACAGTAATTTAACTATATTTTTTTCTTCAAATGATAAAGAATCCAAAATATATGTGTGTTTCCTGTGCTAAATGTACTTAATGTAATGTATTTCATTGTTTTAAGGAATTGGGCAGTGGTTACTAATTTATTACAGTCACCTAGCCAATCATATAATGTTAGGACATGAAATTATTATTATTTACTGTTGTTTATAGGCGTGTTTTGAAGTAAGGCACAACAATTTTTGAAGTATTTGGAAAGCCCATTTTACAGTTCTGACCCTAGGGTCTTTTCCATTTTCTAGTCTTTAGCTTATAAAGAAATGCTTATGCTTTATCAAGCTCATGCTTTTACCCATAGCCATCTGTAGGGTATAGTGAATTAGGGCAACCGCCCCAGGTCCCACACTTTGGGAGGGCCCTGTAGAGTCAGGTGGAGGGGCCACAGCCCCTCCCATGGGGCCCACCTGGAGCTGTCAGCTCAGCTTCGTACCTCAGAAGCACAGAGGCCCTCCCCATGCCCCATGCAGTGATTTGCCCTGGGCCCTGCACCCCCCTAGGATTAGCTCTGTTTTTACCCTTTGAGTCAAAAAAATTAAAAGAAAAATCCCCTATTTATTGGATGTTGAGGGTCCTTTCTTGTTCCCATTGCCATCAGTAGGAATGAGTCACAAAAGTAGCGGATTTCCTCCACTATTCCTACTGAGTTGAGAAGAAGTGTCTGATTGCACAGCTTGGCCCACCTGCCTTCAATGCAAGTGACAGCAATAGCTCACTCAGAGGGACATTTTTTATACCAGTTTTATAACAGGAAGTTCCGGCATGTCAGCTAATAAGGGGAATTTTCAAAACAAGTGTATTTATCTTGAGTCACAAATTAGTGCCAAGGGAGACTGTTGGATAGATTCTCCTTTAAAGACTGACAAGTTTAATAACTGGCACCTAAATTGCTTGGATAGCTTGAAAGCTAAATTCAACGCAGACACTTTGAACCTTGCCCAACTTACTGCTATAACCTGTCTTGTGTTTATGTTCTGTCTATATCATGAGCATCCTAGCTCATGCCCTGTAAAGCAAGAGGAAATTTTGCTGCTGAGTTCAGTGGGAGCAGGATCCGGATCTTTGTAGAGAACATGCCAGTGACTGGCAAATGCATGCAGTTGTTTGCGTGAGCTGAGCAAGGGAAAGAATGATTTTTGGAGAGTTGCTTAATTCTGCTTTTTGATTGCTTTATGTTTTTGTCTTCAGTCCCCACCCAAAGGTGCCACCATTCCCTACCGTCCCAAACCTGCCTCTGCACCTATCATTTTTGCAGGTGGGCAGGTAAGAGCAGACACCATTTTGGCTTCAGCTGGAAATCACACCGTCTTGGCCCAACCTCAGCCAGCGCCTGTTAGTTTTCAACTTTTACTCTTTCTTTTCCTGGTATAGTATTAATGTTGTTTATCCACTGTGGTTTACAGAAAAAGGAGAACATTGTGTTATAAACTTAAACTGAAAACAAGTCAAGGGCATCTTTTGCACAATCTTTATTTACTATTATTGAATAAATTGCTGGAACTTGTATCCTGTTCATTTCAGCTGTATCCCTGGCCCTATGGGGTGTTTTTTCCTTTGTGTGTTGCACTAAATATATCATCAGACTTGATGTTCCAAGAACTTGTCACATAACTACATCAGGAATATTTTGGTTTCTGGTCTGGCTTTATATGATATTATAAGGCTCTAGTTTGCTACAGAGAGCAGTGGAAAGGAACAAAATTATGGCATTTGCTATTTTAACAAGGTTTAAAATTAACCTCTCTTCCTTAGCTGTTTAATAAATGGCAGGGTATCCAAAATCAGATACACATTCAGTGAGACAAAACTTTATGTTTAATTTTAAAAATTCATTGTTTCGTGGCCATATAGGCTACAAATACGTGTTGCATTTCTTCCAGGAGAAACCATTTTATCCTTGGACAAAGTATAACCATTCAGATGTCCTTAAAATGAATTGTCCTTAAAAAGGATCACTGAATAAGACGTATTAACAGTATGTTCCAAGACATCACAAAGTACAGCTGTACAGTTGTCCTAGAATTGAATCAGAAGGGCATTGTGTGTACATGCCAATCCCAAGACTTTTCTGTTCTGGTACAAACACAGATACAGCTCATCCTAAGATAAATGCAACATCTGTTCCTTGCCATAAATAGATATATATAAGTTAAGGACTGAGCAGCTTTGAGCAAAACTTACCAAATTATAATTTGCTATGATGTTTTTACTCCAGAAATGCTCTTAGCATTTTGAAATTCTAATAATTTTAATAGTTTGTAGGGACAAGTCATGAGTTCCTGAGAAAAATATACATAAAAGAAATACTGTTTCTCTTTATTTTTTTATTATTTCTCTGTTTATCGTTTTAGTGTTTGCAGGTCTGGTCCCCACATTTCAAAAGGAGAGAGTAGAATTAGAAAAGGTACAGAGAAGGGTAACCAAAATGATCAGGGACATGGTGTAGTTGCTGTACCAAGAGAGACTAAAAAGGCTAGGGCTCTGCAGTTTGGAGAGAGAAGGCTGAGGGGGGGATATGACAGATGTCTATATCATGAAAAGCATGGACCAAGTGAGCAGGGAACTGTTGTTCACCAAATCCCAAGATACTAAAACTAGTGGATGCCACTGAAATTGGTAGGTGACAGGTTTAAAACTAACAAAAGAAAGCACTTATTTGTACAATATGTAGTCAACTTGTGGAATTCATTGCCACATGAAGTGGTGAAGGCAGATAGTAGAGCCAAGTTTAAATAGGGACTGCATAAATTCCTGGATGATAGATCTATTAGTGGCTATTGAACAAAATGCTTGAAGATGTTTCCTCTGACATCTCTAAACCAATAATGGTGAATACAAGGGCAGATACTAATTAAGGGATAGATCATTCTAGGGACATCCAATTCAACGCTCTCCCTCTATAGCAACCATTTCTGCCGCTGTCAGAGACAGAACACTGGGCTAGACTGACTATAGGTCTGACCTAGTATGGCTCCTGTGTTGGACAATATTTTATTGCATTATTTTTGTTGTTATTGTTGTATTTATTGCTATTACTATTTATGCCAATGGTAATGAGATGATGACAATAATGATTAACAATGATGATGATAAGGATCATTCCTGATGTCCAAGTTGCCTCAACTGACTTTCTTCAAAGTAAAAAATTACATTTCTTAGACTAACAGACCTTAAATCGAAAAAAAATACCGTGATTTGAACTCTGCTGAATGTGCAACTGCGGAGTAATTTATTACAAACAAATTTTAAGTTTATACTGAGGTGTTCTCCTTTTACAAGTATGCATGTCAGGGCTATGCCTTAGCAGTACTGTAAATGGTGTTACTTTCGAAAGTACATAATGAATCAACTCACTAAATATGTTAAAACCAATTGCTAGAATGCCCTGAGCACTTAAAATAAGTATTTGAAATTGCATCTCATTATGTGATATAAGAAATCTCAGAATTAATCTTTAATTGTATAAAGCAAATACTAGGCAGCCAAGTGTTCTATATTTTTCTTTGTAAGAGTTAGTTCAAACAAAAAATATCTAATTCTGATATTTTAAGTGAACGAAACAGTCTCTCACTGATTAGAACAATTCTTTGGTATCTTAGAAAATGATAGAGGTTGGTTTAGTAGTGACAATGGAGAGTCTTTGCTTCGTTTCACTTCTAGTATCAAAATATAATATGTACAATGGTTTTTATACTGTATTAAAGAAATCCTGGCCACGTCTACATGAGACGCTAAATGTGCAGTAGCCCATGACTACTGCACAGTAGTGTCAGATGGAAAAAACCATAACACGACGCTACTGCGCAGTAGTCACAAGCTGTGCCATCAGCGTCATGAAACAACCATTCTTTGGCACAACTGTGCTGTAACTCCAGTTACTCTGCAGTCATTTAGTACTTTTTAATACAAATACTAAATAACTGCACAGTAATGACTGTATAATCAGCTTCTCATGTAGACACAGCCCCTGAGTACACATTAACTCTGAAAACAAAGTATAATGGTGCTGGCAGTGATGAGTCCATCTACCCCTTCCATGAGTGTCAACAGTTGTTTCTTTCATGCCCAATAGATTTTGCAAATCTAGATCAAAACACTAGAAAAATCAAACTCCTGCTTTGACAAGATGGGATTTTACACGGGTTTTGCTGCTTTAAGTATTTCTAATACATTTGGGTTTCTTTTTCAGTCCTGTATAATATAGTAGAGCTAAAAGGAAGATGAATACACACTGCCATGTGTCATAGCTCAAGTCTTTACTAAACTTCAGCTAAGGTAGTTGTTTAAAAAATTAATACTAATCCAATTACACCACCCCTGTTGAAAGGAAATAAAACGAAGTCTTCATGTCATTTTTCTACACACAAATTTTGTCTTTACCCTATATACCTAAAACAGGCACTTCTAGCAAGGTCTCTTTGAAGCTGGACTCAGTCTTGGGCCACCTCTCACAACAATCTCATTGACTTCACAGATTGTAAATCTGGACCAATTTTTGCCCCAGGCAATTATTCCTGCCCTGACTGAAGTCAACAGCCAAATTACCACTGACTTCACTGGGAACAGGATAATACCCCCATAAATGAATGGGACTCTTTGACCAAGTGACTAGTGAATTATTTAATTATTATTTATGTTCCAGTAGCTCCTAAAATGCACTTGGTAAATACCAGCCCAAGAAAGGCTATGGTCCCTTCCCTGGAGAGTTAGACCATCTGAAGTATACTCTTTCTACTGCATTTGAAGTAGAACTAGATTCAGACTAAACACCTCTGACTTAAGCTAGTAAGTCAAAGCAGTGCTTTTCCAAATTATCTGCCTGCAAAAATAGGTTCCCCCTCATTTAAGCATGACATCAGTGGGACCATTTGCATGTCTAATGATAAGTACGTGCTTACAGCTCCAACTCAGCAAGCAATCGTTTGGCAAAGCATTCAAGTACACACTTAGCTTTAGGCATGTGCTCTCATTTCATTGCCATTAGTGCTCAAGGGTGGGGCCTTACTTCTCATTTTAACAAACAAGTGCTTCCAGAGCTAACACCCAGTCCTGCAAATGTACATAACTAACTAGGCACATAATAAATTGTCCCCACTGGAACCAATAGAATACTAGTTTGTATAAAAATAATTGCAAGACTGGGGCTCTACTTTATAAATAAATTTAAAAATAGAGCCACCATTTCTGCTCAAGGCGGCAAATACTGCTGTAGAAATTTCTGTAAATCAGTTGGACTGTTAAAGGTTTTAATCTCTATGCTCCATTAAATGAATTGTTCTTTAATTTCCAGGGCGTTCATTACTTTCTGAGATGCCTTTCGTCAAATAAGCGTTTTACAAATGAAGCTAAACAGCTCTGTTCCTGTTTATAATTCTGCCTGTGCAAATATTTATAAATTATAATTTTCCTTCTGGTTTCCTGCCTAACGACAAGTTCATCAAAATATTTTTGATGGCCCAGCTCTTTTAGGAAAGTTCCACAGAATATACTAGAAAATAATAACCTTTGTGTATTTCTTTTTATACCAGCCTATAGAATTCAATAAAGGTGGCAAGAGAAATTGGGGGGAGGCAGTCTAATTAATCCAATTAGCAGACAACAGAAGATAAGCACAATATAATGCACCTTTTCCCTTTGCTGTTATTCCCCTCCCATGCCATGGGAAGGGTTGGGCTGCTGGAGCCCACAGCAGTGCCTAAACAAAGTAGTTTACAGCTAGTGCAGATGTAGTCACACCTCTGGATGGCAGTGTAGACACAGACAATTTTACACAAGTCCCGCAACTGGTCCTGGTTCCACCACTGTTCTGCACAGATCAGCAGAGCTAAATTTGGTGATGGGGAGTGTACGCTGGCCCCTGTACTTGTGGGGCAACCTATCGCTGTCTGTCTTGATTCTGTTGCAAACGGTGCATCTGCCTAGGACCTAAGACCTGCAGGGCCTTCACTGGTGCAGCGTGGCCTGGCCTTACCACTAACAGAGGGCTGCACCTTAGGAACATGACCAAGCCCTTACTACACTTTGCAAATGTCAAGTCACACAAGAAGATTAAGCTTCTCTTAGCATTTAAGGAGATGTGATTTTTTTTTTTTAATTGAGTGTGGAAAAACACAAGTTTTTTCCCCAGCCTGACGAGAAAAGAGAGCTTATTGTCTCGTTTCACTGATCTGTATCTTCAATTTTGCTTGTTATTTCCAGGCATTTACAATTCAGGGGCAGTATGCCATCCCTCATCCAGACGTGAGTCCAGAGCATGTAAATTACTCCCTTCTTTTCTCTCTCTCTCTCATTTGTTCTGGGCAGCATTTACTTTCTACAGTTAATATGAAGACACGCCTGCAGATGCCTGTCCTTAGCAGTGTACGCATAACTGCGTGTTAACTTTATCGGATATCTTGTAATAATTGCTAGAAAGTACAATGGCCCAGATACAAATTACAATTATTTTTGTCTTTTATGCATGCTATGTATTTGAGTTGTTTTCTTAATATGTTATTCTACAAAAAATGTAGTTAATATTAACAATAGCCATTACATGTAATAACAATAGAGATGTCATTTTTAACCAGTTTTTTTTCTATGCGGTAGAATAGAATGAATGATTAAACCTTTTTTTTAATTTTAATTAATCCAGTTTTAAGACATGTAAGATGGTTTTCTCTACTCTGAAATAATTCCATTTGATTGGTTAGTTCTAATTTCCCATCCTGCCCTGCAGTTGACCAAGCTTCACCAGTTGGCTATGCAGCATCCCCCCTTTACTCCCCTTGGGCAGACCACCCCTGGTTTCCCTGGTACGTACCCATGACCCCCTGGGGATGTCCTTCTTCTTAACAGCTTTGTTTCCCGTGGTCATTACATCATTTTAATACTAAATGTGTTCAATGACCAATGATCCTTTTGTGTTCACACATTAATTCTGTGTTCTGTCCCTGCTACCCTGTGGCTCCGTTACAGTTTGTTTCTGTCGTTACTAAACTCTTGTGCTTTGTTTGTTCCATTTATTTTAATAAAAACACTTAATTTGTGCCATTGGCTGAAGAGCCCAACCTTCTTTTATTTAGTCCTCTGCAAAGTTATTATGCACCACATAGCATGTACCAGTGAATATTGTTCAAAGCATTTGGTAGTGAATTTTGTGGAACCTCTATTTTTGTACTGTATTTGGAAAAGGTCCAAAAACAACTAAAAATACAGAAAGGGAATATGTATTTATAGGATAAAGACAGATTAATATAAATATTAAAAGCACAATTAAAAACCCAAATAGACCTTTCCTGTATATCCAAACTTCTGAATTACTTCCATTATTTTTACTACCATTGGAAACAACTATGTTGTTCCTATTTTAAAAAATCTCCCACTAAAGGCAGTGGAAATTTGGCTCATCTAAGGACTCCAGAACATAGTACATAATTTTTAATGCCTGCTTAAATATTATTTTGTTTATAATAGGCAACTGAAGTTAGAGAGTCCTTCAATAAATCATTTTACTTTATTTCAATAAATATGGTGTTTGGAGTCGAAACGTTTTTGCAGGACACACTAAAATATACAGTGGTGCATGTTTTGTATGGTAATTAATAACATTTTATCACATACATCAAATGACTCAATCATTTTCATATAACTTATTTTACACCCCATGTATTTGTGGAATATGAAAGGCATTCGCAACATGTAAACAGCTAAATGTAAACTTGTGGTAAAATTTAAGTGGAAATGAGAAAAATTATTTCTTTGTCGGAAACAAATAGATATTCACCAACATGTTTCCACATAAAATTTCAAAAGGGAAGAGAGAAAAATGAGGCTCAAAATATAATTTGCTTCTACATGGTGTATCTGATAAAATCTTTACGAAAGCATTAACGTACCTTTCCTAGCTTTATATTCTCTTTCTTCTCTACTTGTCATTAACATACTGCTCCTTAATCTTTTCCTTAGTCTGTTTGTGATTTGTATGTCTCCATAACTTTACTGTGTGTTAAAGCACTAATTGCAGTCCTCCTAAGCATTTTCCTTTTGTCCACCCAATTTAAAAACAAATGTATGCAACTTATTTTGTACTTTCCCCCTAAAAATTCCCATCTATCCAACATTTCTTCAACCACTAACCCCCATGTATAATTTCCAAATTCTCCTAGTTTATTTCCCTGTCTTTATTTTATCCATTTTTTAAAATATTTTAAATTTTGTTTACCTTAGAATTCCACATTTATTTTCTGTATTTTAGAAAATCTGATAGACAGGTCAAATTTCAGCCATCTAATCCATTTCTGAATTAACATATATGGAGAGCAAACTTCAAAGAATATTTATAGGTGAAACCCTCCATTTTGTAGAAACTTTTCATAGCATTGTGAAATCATGTGACATTTGTTGTTTTGGTGGGTTAAAGGTTAATTAAAATAAGAATAATTTAAAATTAGTCCAACCCTTTTAATTTTTGCATTTCTTGCTTTCTTTTTTGTTTCCCTAGCAGTTCTATATTTTTCTTTGCTTCTTTATTTTCTCAGTATTTTTTCATATTGTCTTTCTTTAAATATCATTTGTTGTGTCTTCCCCAAATTTCCAAACATCTAGCATAATGTTTTCCCCTCTGTCCCCTAAATAGGATTGGATGCCACTTCTCCAACCAGTTCCCATGAGCTTACTATTCCAAATGATGTAAGTGGATCAATAGTCAGTCTCTTTCTTTCTCTCTCTTTCTCCCTTTGTGTTGCAAGTAGAATATCTCAGCTTGGGTCGGTTCATACCAACATAAGCTATGCTATCATAATTTGTGCTGCAGAGAATTAAAGGGAAGGACAAAAAAGGTAACTCTGGGTACATACTGGAATGAGTTTGACTGAGGGGACCAGGAAGGGTTAGTAGAATGGTGGTATAAAAAAGATGACAGCATTATGGGATGGCTCAAGACTGAGACTACAGAGTGTTTTGTTGTATCCCTCCCCACTACCCCGACACAAGTATAAATAAGGAATCTCGTACAACAGTGTGCTGAGTCCTCTTGTTCTTTCCTGTACTTGCTGAGACTGCAACACATTTCTCCTGTAGGTCACCAGTTCCACTAAGGCCAGGCTGGTTGTTCCTGAAAGTTGTTACCAATAGATAGATATCATAGCGCTCTAGATCAGTGTTTCTCAACCCATGGGTCATGCCCCAAAAGTGGCTCACAAGAATATGTGAAAGGGTTGCAAACAAACTTTAACAAAGGATCAACACACTTGAAAAATGGATTCTCCTTTAAAGGAGAAAAACGTGGGAAACGGTGGTTTTCCCTTGCAAGCTGGCAGAGTTCCAGCCTGGAAGGGGCTGCTTGGGGCCCTCCATGCCCCACACGCTGGGGGCTGGGACCTGGGGGCAGAGGGCAGCAGGTCAGAAGTGAGGGGCACTAGGTTGGGACTGGCCATCAATGTTTACAAATGAGTCCTGGCACAAAAAAAAGGGTGAGAAACACTGCTCTAGACAGAATACCTATGTAGTCTGAGACAGGTAAGGAAGCAGCATTCATATCACATAACACTCATTTTGGCAGTTTCAAACCAAACGGCCAAATACTAAAGGGACTCATGGTCCTATGAGAAGGCCTTCCAGTTGAGGACTGAGGCACCTAAGCGCAGTAATATAAAGAAAAAGCATTGTGGTTTTGTTGTGCTGTACTATTCTGCCAGCCAGCACTTTCCAGGGCTGTCACTTCAGGACCTTAAGTAACCACAAAGGTTACTTAAAAATATATGAAAGTACAATAGAAATAAAATTGCTTTGCAGCTGTAGTTTTAAAAAATCTGAGCAACACTTCTACTTTGTGAATTCGAAACAACTGACTAATTTTGCGCCACTACCACGTTTTCCCCCTAAATTACAAAGTTCTGAGACTTAAAACAACCACTTACGTTTTACTACCAGGTATTTGCCATAGACAAAGGCTCCAATGTTATTTTGTTTCCCTTGAACTATAAGTCTTATCAATTTTCATTATAAATGACTGACTGAGAAAATTGAAGATATTGCCTCCAGTGAAAAAAGCTTTCAAGCATGAGTGGGATCACAAATAACAATTATATTACTTAAAAGATACTTATAACATCATATGAAACCTATTAAGCTCAGTGGCAGTGATTTATAGAAGGAAGAGTGGCAAGCAAGCAGAGTTACCATAATGAAAAGTAAATTTTCCTGTATAAGTAAGTGCTTGAGATTCAGTAAGATTTCCATTAGTTAAAGCAGGAGTGGTTAACCTGTGGCATGGGTGCCACAAGTTGGTATGGGCTGCTTCTGTACGTGGCACATGACATATTGGAAAGGGGATAGGCAGTACAGTGGCAGGTAGGGCAGCAAGCAGAAAGCAGAGCACATCTTCCAAAAAGGTTGGTCTCTTTCCCTTCCCCACTGAGTTAAAGGATGCCCTGCTGAGATTTCAGTCAATAGATGGTTTATCACTTAAGTTGTTGTATATTCAGCACAAGATAAGAGCACAATCTTTGTGGTTCTTACAGCCCAGGTTTCTCGAAGCTTACCTCTCTGGTGTTTTTGACATGTGTCCATTAGGGCTGTGTGGAGCTTTGGTCACTGATTCGATTCAGCCCAATTTGGCTGCCGAATCTCCGGATCCAAATTGAATCAGAAGACCTTTTAATCTCTCCGAATCAAATCAGAACTCTCCGAATCGATTTGGAGAGATTCGATGATTCGGAAAATAGACACAGCTTTAAATGTTTTTTCTACATACCTCAAGATACCAGGCAGCTTGGGAACACTGAGATGGATAGAGCGTTCCACAGGAGCACGGAGGGGTCCTGAGCACACTCAGCTGCAGTCCCGGAAGTGGACCAGAAGCATTTCCAGTCCACTTCCGGGTCCACCACGGAGTGTGCAGGTGACCCTCCCCCCACCCCTGGCTCAGCGACTGGTGCCTCCTGGGTCTGGGAGGGCACCTGGGGTCCCCCTGTGGCCACTCACTGAGCCCCCATGTACTCAGCAGTGGACCCAGAAGTGGACCAGAAGTACTTCCTGACCACTTCCAGGTCCACCGCTGAGCACCCAAGGGGCTTCTCCATGCTCCTTTGGGACGCTCCATCTGCCCCACCATTGCAGCATTCATGAGTCATGCCTGGTACCTTGAGATATGTAGAAAAATGTTAAAGCCGTGTCTATGTCCAAATCACTGATTCTCCAGACCAGCATCGAATCTTCAGATTCAGATTCAGCTGAATCAAATCAGGACAGTGATCTGAATCAACAAATTGACTCACTGTCCCCTGATTCAGGCCAAATCCAAATCAAATCCAGCCCGTTTTGCATACCCCTAGTGTCCATGACATGGTACATCTAGAGTAATGCCACTGACTTTGGTGCAGCGAGCATTAATGCTAGTGAAAGCAGGAGCCAAGTTTGGCCCTATGTCCCTTTTTGCAACATAATTTGTGGCTAAGGAATTGTAAAACACATTGCGATTCCAAACTCACTTGTGACATGCATTGATGCATCTTGGTATTATCTGGGGGGGGGAGGGACTCTCAAGTTGCACGAGATGTTCCAAGATAAGCACTATGGCCAGCCTGCATATCTGAGTTTGAAATGGGACCTAAAGTAGGCACACCAGTGAACACCCTGAGGGTCTGCAGGGGGATCTTCAACAACCGTGAGCCAGGCCCTGGTAATACACTCCAGCAGGAGGACAGGGCAGGAAACACATGTGTGCACAAACATGTACCCATTCTGTAGTAATTTAAATATATATGTGTGTGTGTGTGTATACATACATACATACATATAAAATTTTTACATATACATAGATATACATATAGATATTAGTCAGACTGGAGAGAAATTTGCTGGGGGCCATGGAGAACTCTGTGAAAAATCCCTCTTGTGCAGATTTCCAGGCCATATTCCTGCTAGCAGAAGGGAAATGTGTATGGGGAAACAATTGACATGGGGACAAGCAAAGCAACTTCCTCCTACTACTCCATTTCCCAGTTAGACCCTATAATTTTATCTGATACTCTAAGAGAGACTTAATTGGACTGAGGACTGCAGAGTCCTGCTTGCTTGTTTTCACAGCTGAGCAGCCAAAGTAGGAATAAGTGTGTGACAGCCTGGTATCTTCAGGTAATCATAGACAGGACAGAGGTAACACCTAGAAATCAAATTCCTGTGAGCATAGGCACAGACAGAAGTGATAATTTTCACCCAATCTGGCCACAGAAAGCAGTTTTTAACTGTGACCAAACACAAGTGCACGGCTGCAGACAGCTTTAAAAATGAATGATCCAGTGAAAATCTGACCTCTCATTTCAAGAGGGGTCAGGTGAAGACATTTTAAAACAGAGCCTCTTCTGTAACTTTGGTCTGCACATCCTCCCGGCCTGTTGCTGTTTTCAGAATGGGAGGGGAGGAAAGGGAACAAAGTGGGTTTAGTCTGGGAGGTTTTCAGCTAGGGTGGTCATCATAGAGGATATTACGGTTTTCTGCTACTCTGTCTTCTGTCCTGTATTGATAAGAAACCGGACAACTTTATGTCCTCTATTTTTCTCTTCTGCTTGAAAATTCTGTGGGGGAAGCATCTCTCTTGTACCTACCCCTAGCCCTTTGATGCTCCCAAAAGGGACAAAAGTGGGATCTTAATGTGATCCTTCATCCCCCCTTTCCATGTGGCTTGAGAAAAATACACCCACATTCATTTCCCTTCATATGAGTAGAAGGGATGATCTGGCTCTCTGTAATTAAGCCTGTCCTATTTAATTTATCCATCAAGATTGCTTTTTGTTAGTATTATCTAAATTGCCAGCAAAAAGCCACCTATTCAGAGTTCATTATGCATTTTGCAACTGGCATAACCCTCAAGAGGCTGAGCTCATAACAGGAAGAAAAAGAGCTGAGTCGTTGCTAAAAATGTGTCAGCTTCAGTAGTTTCTGTGATTGCTTCTGCTTGGTGGTCCTGATTATTGCTCCCAACAGGAAATTAAGGTGGATATTTGTCACTTTGACAAGCAGTCAGCATAAATCAATTTTTGGGGGCTGCATGAAATACAAGAACCCACACATCTGAAGTTCTGGATCATCATGAAATGGGTTTGTAGGGGGATGCATTCAATTAGTCTTCTTACAGTTCACTTTCAGGGTGGCATCTCTGCTGCCCTGGTTTAGCATTGCAAAGCAAGCCCATGTAAACAGCTCTCAGAGGAGCAGAACACAGGATAGTAAAGCCACTCATTCTCCCCATATACTAGTGCAAATCAGTTGTCTTTTCAAGGTGATGGGCCTATTGCTCTAATACTTCACATCATGTCTAGTGGTTCCCACCCACACACAGAGCAGATATAAAATTAGGTGTAAATGAGAAAAGAATTGAGATGGCAAGTGTACTTAACTGTGCTGAGGAGAAACTAAGAAAATCTGGACATACATAGCACTGAAAGAAAATACAGGATATGATTTAACAAAGAAACCCAAGAGCCAGACTCTGAGTTGGTTTCCCAGTTGTTTGTTGACCAGGCAAATTCACACTGACTTCAAGCTCAGGGGGAATTTGCCTGAGCAAAGGCCAACTGCAAATAAAATAAAAGGTTTGGCCAAGGAAAGCATAGGTGAATGCCCTTTAACAAGTTACAGTTGTCTGTAGTAAAGCACATCTCATTTATTCATTCCTCAGTAATTGTGTT